CACACACACACACACCTTCATACACTGTTTTCTTCCATGCAATGCACAGCACAGAGGGCATTCTAAGAGGGTTGTGCAACAAAGAGCATACAAAACAGTTTCAAATATGGCTGTGGGATGAACATTAGCACTCACATGCATAATAATGAACACGCACGCACACACGCACACACGCACAACCTTTAAAGTTGTATGAATGGAGTAACAGCATCAATGACGGGAATAAACCAGCACGAAACATACTCACTGACAGGACAAGTCGGCCTCATACCCATTACATCAGTCGGATTTTAGTTTTTGTGTGGTTACATCACGTGACAGGTCGCTCTCATCATGCAGCCACCAGCTGGGCTCTCCCACATGGCACTATCCAAAACTGTCTGCTCGGATATCGGCCACCTCAGGAGGAGGCGAGCGGGCGCGGAATCTCACTCGCTGTGAAAGTGTGCATGCATGTGTGTATATGTGTGTGAGTGTGTGTTGCCCGGAACAATGAATGGCTGCGCTGTCAGTTGGTGAGCAATTATGCATGCTGTTTGTGTTTTCAGAGGCCAAGTGCACATTGTCTCCGTCCTCAGGAGATTAGCGTGAGCCGGCTATCACTGCGCCCCATGTGTGTGTTCATGTGCACGTTTGTCACAGTCAAATTCAGGTGATCAAAGAAAATAAAAACACTGAAGTAATTATTGTCAACCACTTCACTCTGTGGCCTGACTAAGAGCTGCAGTCTATTGCTTCTCCCGAACCATTCGGCATCTAAAAAAGTCAGAGTAAAGAGGAAGGAACACCTGTAATGTAATCCACTTCTCTCGAACCTCAAAATCTCTCTGCTCACAGAAAACCACACTCTAAAGATTGTATATGTCCATTTTCTCTTTTCCACTCACTTGCTGTACTTTCCCAAAACTCTGGGACATTAGAGGTAAAATAAAAATAAAAAACTGCACTATGAAACACGCTGGACAACCCACTTTTACAGGTTTGTCTCTGAACCTGAATGAAATAACAAGATGTGGGTGTTAACCTTTCTTTAAAATCAATCTGAGAATAAAAACTCTTACAGAAAACACAACAAGGACAATGTTAACTACACAACACGGCTTCAGTAATGACATTTATGATTGATTCTGACATGAATCTGTACAGATTGTCCCATCAACGCAGGTACTGTCCCATTTTCACAGCTCCTTCTCCTTCCTAAACTGTTTTCCCAGAGCTCCACAGCCCAATGGGAAAATCACAGAGCCAGAATTAGTACATCAAGGACAAAACATAACCTCTCACTAGCCCTGTCACAAAATATAAGACACACAGCACACACCTCACTAAGTTATCAATGTAAAAGACGACTCATGACAGGAACCAGTTTGACTCCATATCCCAGCTTAGGTCAATTTTGGCACGCTTTTTATAATTCTGTGATCAATTCTCAGGATTTACCAGAAGAAAAATAGACCCAGCTCCAGCACAGAAAAGGTTTGACACGACTTATTGTTTTTCAAATGGAAATTGGCATAGTACATGGCTGTGAATGGCTGCGTGTAAGACTTGATGATATGTTGTTTGTCCCTTCAGCAGACTCAGTCCAAGTCCCCCCTGACCTCACTGTGTGTGCGTGTGCCTGAGCGGCCATCTTCTCCGGAAGTCTCCTTCTCAGATCACTTAGCGGTGGAGAGCATCGGCTGCTCCGTGTACCAGTGAGTCCCCGGATCGGGCATGCTGCCCCCAAGCGGCAGTGCAATGAACTGCGGGCAGGTCCCACCTCCTGCTCCCACAACTCCCATGCTGACGCCCTGTGGGTACGGGTGATGGTGCGCGTGGTGTCCCATGCCGTCGGTCCGACCGATGTGGATCTCGTCCTCCTCGCCCTCGCCGGTGGTTTTGCGGTAGACGGGGTTGTCGAAGTTCATGCTCTTGGTGGAGTTGCGCCGCCAGTTCCGCCACACCAGGTAGACTCCGGCACAGACCAGGCCGAACACCACTGTGGCAACGATAGGAACTGCATGCGTTTAACACACAGCGGCGGGGAAATGGGAAGGGGGCAGCGTTAACAAGGCAGAACGAGTCCATGGCATGAAATGAGAGGCACAGGAAGGAGCAGCACAGGCATGCGGGCGACAGAGAGGGGCAGCGACACAGGTTGTGTGTGTATCTGGCTCAGCCAATCGTCGGGTCAAAGTCAGGTCAAACACAGACTACCAGATTTTTTAATCACTGTGCAAAGCTAAACTAAAAACTATATCATCTAATAACCATCACATTACATCACTATCTGTTGGCACCTCATCTTCAGCAAATCTGTCCTTTATTAAGTCAAGTTATAATAATTTCACAAATAAAGCGTCAAGCTTTCTCTTGTACTGTTCATCTGATGAGGTGAATTAAGGAAACTCTCTATCTGAACTCATTGGCTTACTCATGTTGTTCATGTACATGTTGTGCGTCAACAGAAGATTTTGTATCTTCCACATACACAGTTTGTTTATTATCCTCTATATATTTTAAGTGGTGTCAAAGGATAACCAGTTTACTCAAGGGATAATATTCCCACAGGAACTTATTGTTTTAATGTAGCTGCATTCTTCTTTAAAAGGTTGGTGTTTGTCTAGTCTTTCCAAAACCAGAGCAAAAGTGTGAGGAATGAATTAAACTGTGATTTTATACATGGTGATTTATTCTGCAATCATTAAAAGCGCACTGGCCTCTGAGTCATAAACAACAATGAAGGCTAACTGGCACATCATTAACTAAATACACTGGGGTTACAAGGTAAATAAACCTGTTTAAAACAATTACATACATTTATATTTCTTGAATAAACTGAAGCTGGTTATATCAGCTGTAAGATTTTCAGCCAACATCAGTGACTGTCTCAGCAATGTTACCTTAGATAATGTCATTGCCTAATTTCACTCTCCATCCTTTTATCCTGTAACATTAAAGGTGAAAACAAACTTTTTGACCGTACAAAAAACATGTAAGTCAGAGAGTTAGATTTTTTGCTATCATGGTTAAATTAGGATTTACTAGCTCAGCATTGAAATGAATAAACAATGCTGTTTATTACCATGCTGAGTTTTGGCTTCAGGCTCTCAAGTGAAGACTCAGGGCCTTTTCACACCTGAACGTCTGAATAAAGGTTGATCCGGTTAGTTTTGGTTTCACGTTGAATATCGCTTGTTTCCTATTTGAGGGTAACCGACATATGGACAGGTATAGCTGCAGTAGCTACACACCTACCTAACCATTAGAGGCAAGTGAGAAAATGTTTCAGTATATTTTATTGCTCTATTAAACTACAGAGACAAAGTATCTACTGACAAGGAGGCCTGTGGCTGTAGCAGGACCGTACACAACAACATAGCATGAGGTGAATGATGCAGCGTGGCAGAGATGTCAGACGCAGAAAATGACTAATGAGATAAACCTCAGAGAAAAAGACCTGTGGGGCAGGCTTCTCTCGACCTGCCACAGCAGGGTCAGTGAATTGAGTACAAACAGAGAGGCCATAGGCGTCAGGTAGAAAGCAGCTGGCCTTCAGTGTGGACGGACAGATGCAGAAAAGGACGCTTCAGGTGACTTACCAATGGGGATGACCACTCCCAGAACAGCTACTGTCAGGTTCTCGCCCAGGAGGAAATGATCACCTCCAGCTGCGGGGGAGAGATGAGACGACAAAGAGGAGTTAGAGGAAGAGGATGGAAACACAGCAGAGCCAGAGAGGATAAGAGTGGGAAAGGATGAAAAAAAAAAATGTATGAGAAGTAGACTTAAAGATAAGCGGGAAGGAAAAGCCGGTGGAAGAGGAGGGAGATAAAAATGGGGCGGGTGATCATGCGTGTGCGGCCGTGAGTGTTTTACAAAGAGCGACAGATAGTGTAAAAAAGAGGGTGGAATAAAAATGAAAGAGGGGGGGGGGGTATGATTAGTCTGTTGGCATTTGCCAGACTGCGACCTTGACGATACACCCTGACCTTCTACGCTTCATCCATCTCTGCTCTGTCTGGTTCCAATGTCACCTCACGGCTTGAGCTCATTTACATACTTGCGAACATGTACATTTACACTGTGTACAATTACACAAGAGCGCACGGGCCCTCGCAGACATGCAACACTCCACTCTGCACAATTTATGAAGGGAGAGGTGACGTTTCCTTGGCGGAAGGTACCATCCATCACTCCTATTAAAGTCAGCCGAGCATGGTCTTAGAGCCTTGCAGATATCTCACTTCAATGTCATCATTACAGTGAGGATGAGGCTGTTGGCTACATTACAACTGTGAGTAGGACTAGAGGATGTGATACTTGGCAGGAGACGTGGGCTCTCAGGTGAAAGTTGTGCTTGCAGAAGACTGGGCTCCATCTCTTGTTAAATCCTGAATGGGTCACTCTGCCCTTTCCAAATCGAACAGAGGACCCTGAGGGGCCTCATTAGTAATGTTAAATCACATATCGCGTGGACTTTTAAAGTCCTAAATCTTTTTTTTAAATTCACAGTCCACTTACAGTGCTGTGACACGCTGCTGTCCCCTGCAGGCGTGGTGGAGATGACCATGGCGGTGGCCGTGGAGTGGGAGCCCAGCGCCTTGGACTCCTGTGATGGCACAGGCTTGAGCGTGGACAGGAGTGTGAGGGGGTCAGGGGCGCCAGACGGAGCAGTGGTCAAGTGAGGGGTGGCGTCGGCCTGCGATACTCCCCCTGATGCTGGAGGAGAGTCTTCAGCAACAGTTGCACCGGTGCCAGGTCTAAGACCGGAGGGAGGTGTGGACGTCAGTGTCATGTTGTTTTTTGGTGCTGTGACAAGGAAAGAAGGAGCATAGAAAGAAACCTTGAGTGCAAGAAAATGAATTATTCACATACTCTATATGGATTTATTCAGTGGTATTTCTGTATAAAATGAAATCTTCCATGTCCTTTTCAGGAAATGGATGAAAAGAACATAACATTTGTGTAATCGTGGCTAAATATTTGTAAAATCACAATCATGGGCCAATAGAATTGCTTTATGAAAAAAAAACATTATGGCACAACGGCTTTGTAGAAAACAACAATCGCCACTGA